CTTGTTTTCGCGTGTCCAGGTCGCCCAGGCGGATGTCTGACATAAGGATGTGTTGAGAACGTCTTGAGCGAAACGCTTCTTTTCACGTGCCTAGGTCACCCAGGCGGACGTCTAACATGAAGATGTGTTGAGGATGTCTCGAGCGAACCACTTGTTTTCACGTGCCCAGTTTGCTGTTTCGAGGATGTGTTGAGCGGAACGTTTTTTTTCACGTGCCCAGGTCACCCAGGCGGACGTCTAACACGAAGATGTGTTGAGGATGTCTCGAGCGAACCACTTGTTTTCACGTGTCCAGTTCGCCCAGGCGGTTGTCTAGCATGAGGATGTGTTCAGGATTTGTTGAGCGAAACGTTTGTTTTCACGTGTCCAGGTCGCCTAGGCGGATGTCTAGCATGAGTATTTGGGCAGGATGTCTCGAGCAAAACGCTTGTCTCCAGCACGTTCCGTAGCGCGTCCCCGTGGCATGTCCCGTGGTGCGTCCCCATGGCACGTCCCCTGGCACGTCCTCTGGGGCGTCCTTTGGGACGTTCCGCGGCGCGTCCTCCTGACATGTCCCCCTGTCAATGAGCTCTGGGGCAGCAACTATGTGCTCAGGCAGCTCGAGCTGAAGGTCCAGATCAGTTCGGCCAGGACTCGGATGCAAAGGAGGACTCGATCCATAACGCTATAGAGCACAATCGCGGCATGGCACATTGTAATTCAGCACGGCGCAGCACAGCACAGCCTTCGGCACAGTTCATCAAGATCGATGTACTCAGCATTGCATTTGGCCATCGCCCAATCAGGTGTCTTTGAAGCGTTGCCATGCCTTACATTCCTATATTCCTTTTCGGGTTCGTGGGTCGATCATGTTCAAGTTGTGACTCCTACTCCCTATCCTCTTCCTCGAGCTCCATCAAGACTTCGGGGTCACATGCATAGATGTTTCGGGAATGCTGTTGAACTCGCTTACGGTGTCTTGGCGCTCCTTGGATCGTCTTCGTGTCCTGTTGGCTGCCCGTGAAATCACAGCAGAAGTCGAGATCCCATGACCCCACGAGTTGAGATTTCTGTTTTAGAATTGTTTTTCACTCTCACCACCTGCCAATTCCCGGAAGCGGCGCGGGCCCAGGGTTCCCCTTGTAAACTCTGCGGAATTATTCCCTGATGAGTGTCGAGGCCGGGAAGGGCTGGCGGAATTATGGTTGAGAATGTATCAGGCGAAACGCTTGTTTTCGAAGTCACGATTGATACTTTACAAGGTGCGGGCCACTTTTTGTTCGTCGTGGATGTCTCGAGCGAAACGCTTGTTCTGCAGAGTTTGCCAAGGATGTCTCCAGCGAAACGCTTGTTTTACATGTCCAGGTCAGGCCCCAGGAGGACACAGAAGGGCCTTCTCCAGGAGTGCGAATCCGTATGTTTTTACGTATGTGCCTATCGATTGGTCCTTTCTGGGGGTATGAATCCGTCTGTTTTTACGTATGTGCCTATAGATTTGCCCTCTCCAGGGGTGCAACTCAGTGCCCTTTCACGCATTAGACTGGCCCTCTCCAGGGGTGCGAATCCGTGTGTTTCTTTTACGTCTGTGCCTACATGCTTGTCCTTTGTAAGGGGTACGAATCCGTATGCTTTTACGTATGTGCCGCCTATAGATTGGCCTCCATTCAGGGGTTCGATTCTGTGTGTGTGTGTGCGCCCATAGATTGGCCCTCTCTAGGGGTGCGAATCCCTGTGTTCTTACTTGTGTGCCTATGGAAAATCAGTGTGTTTTCGCGTATGGGCCTAATGGTGTATCTAACATGCGGGCCCCGCGCTGGAACCGCGTGTTTTTCACGTGCCCACGCCACCCAAGGGGGGTATCTAACATGGTGGTCCTGAGCTGGAACCACGTGTTTGCATGTATCCACGCCACCCATGTGGTATCTAGCATGGTGGCCCCGAGATGGAGCTACGTGTTTTCACGTGTCCAGGCCACCCATGGGGGTATCTAACATAGTGGACCCGCGCTGGAGCCACGTGTCTGTACGTGTCCACGCCACCCATGGGGTATCTAACATGATGGCCCCGAGTTGGAAGTACGTGTTTTCATGTTAAGGCCACCCAGGGGGTATCTAAGATGGTGGTTCCGCGCTGGAACCAAGTGTTTTCACGTGTGCAGGCCACCCAGGTGGGTATCTAACATGGAGGTCCCGAGCTGGAATCATATGTTTTCACATGTTCACGTTGGGCATTGCACCCTTTGGGTCAGCCCAGGTGGCCTCCAAGGGACGTTGGGGGAACTCAGGGGGCCGTGAGCGGAACCTTGAGAAGCACTTGCGGGCTGCAGCGTGTTTTTTTCCGCGCCGTGGAGGTTCTACCCCGCGTTGTGTTCACAGACGTTCTGGTGTTCACACGCCAGCGTCACTGGCCACGACCTTTGTTGGGTACAGTGCAAGGGTGAGGTGCGCCGCAGGTCTTGCAACATGGTGGCGCGCACGAAGCGCACCGATGATAACATGTTCAGCACGCGTGCAAAGACGTG